TTTTAAATTTCACGTACCCCCTAAGATGTCTTCGCGTACTCTCAGATATAATTTCTCTTCAACTTTGTACCCCCAACGTTGTTGGTGTATAATTCAAGTTATACATAGTATATAATCTACATCTAAAATAAATTAAATAAATTACATTACTGATTATTCAGTGTTTATCATAAAATAATATATATATTTTTTAAAATTTCACGTATCCTCTAAGTTGTCTTCGAGAACCCCCGGGGGTACGCGTACCCCAGGTTGAATACCACTGATATAGATGACTGTAACATTTTGTTATTGTTGGCTGTAAGTCTTGCTGCTTACAAACATTTACTGTGAAGTGTTTTAAAGCTCTAAATCTGCCCTCAGGTTGCTGACAGGAGAAGATAAAGACGACATCGTTACTAAGCGTTCACACGGGTACACACTTGACGTGGTTGGACAAGCGCCTCAGGCATTCGAAGGCAACCAACCATCCCACGAAACGTGTGCAATACATGATGAAATTATTTTCAACAGTCTCTGCTTGGGATGAGGCTGATTCAGTGCATATAGGTCGAGGCTTATCGATACGAATCAATTCCGAGTGATCGAATCCCCAATCAATCGAGAGGCTTACCGTATCTATTACGCATTTCACCCTGACTGAGTCGGAAGGGTAGTCCTTATAATCGTCGAAGGGTTATCAGGTATAAAGACCGAGGTCACAGAACAAATGAATTGGTAACAAATAAAAGAAAACGTAAGATCATCCAGCCACAAGGAATTAAAATAATAAATTGAATATGCAACTGGGAAGCTATAATTCAATGCTGAGTTGGTTTGCTGACAGGTTCACCAACAGTCGGACGCCAGACCTTCAACATTTCTTGTCTTGGAACAGCGAAACTCAAACATTTAAAAAAAGTGTGGCCTTGAACGAAGTGCGAGACCGTGATGGCAGATGATGACATCTTTAAAGAAATCAGCACGAGGGGAGTTCGGAAGCATCGGTGTGGAGAGTTCCGTAGGAACAACTCCTCCAACTCCTTGACGCTGGATAGGAGGATATAGGCCTGTAGTTTGGCCACCACGATCGCCGGACCTCAAGCCAATAAAATTTGCGTATTCTCCCGGCCCCCCTCCCAGGGCAGCGCAAAAACCCTACCGAAGTCTGAGGACTTACGTCGACGCGCTGACAAGCCATTTTAATCCATCCGCACTATCCCGGCTGTTATTACACCAGCAGTTGTTAATCGGCACATTTGAATTTATTTGTTTATTTCATTATCAAATAAATAAATTAAGTTATATACTTGTTCAATTTTATCAGTCTAAACACAATAAATTAAATATTAAAATATTATTACAATCAACATTTAAATATTAAAATATATTAAAATGATGCTCTTTATCGAAATGTTCGATTTGCATTAGAGCATCATCTTTTACACTACATGTTTCGGTTCTAAATGAACCATCTTCAGGTGTATTTTAATATTTAAATGTTGATTGTAAGAATATTTTAATATTTAATTTATTGTGTTTAGACTGATATAAAATTGAACAAGTATATATTTCAACACAATATGACGCAACATTATCATCTCACAAATTAAGTTATATTAATTTTTTCATTTTGTTTAACACTTGGCGCTCATAAAACTTCAAAAGCATCAATTACAAACAGCGACGCTATATCAATACAAAATTCAAGCAGGTACTTACGATGGTTCAGTAGTAATTACTTAGAGAACTTAACAGTTATTAATGTATACACTGACGATGTTTATGTATGATTCACCTTCTTCGCGCAGTTGACTAACCCCCCTACCATTCGCTACGAAAACATATCTCCCCGTAATTACCTGTGTGCGGAAGGCAAGGACGTCAAAGAGGAACGTTTACGTACATCTGCGTTCTGTAAAATCCAAGGAAATTGCAACACGTATCGAATATAAAGAGTTTTAAATCAAAAAAATTGCATACTTTTTTTTCGGACAACGTGAATTTTCGTTCTTTAACAGCTTACGGTCATACGACACATCCGCAATTTCATGAAAAGCAATCTCGACTCACACTGGACTAGAATTCGAAATTCGTCTGAAATAAATGAACACCGAGGCCAACGAGCCAAGCGAACCTTCAAAGAACGCATTAGCACGGTGTACTGCTTCAATATTTAGTTTCTAGCCAATCTCTCCCATTTGTTTTAATCCCAGAGCTCATAAAGGCGGCCTGAATGGAAATATGGGCACACACAACACACGACTTTGCCTATCTGCAGGCTACCAAATTGTACGCCGTTAATGAAGTCATGTTGTCACTTTGCGTTCGAGATTCTATTGAATTTGTACGGCAACAAAAGGGACAATACTTGGCCCAGTGCTCGATATCTACCAAACACACAGACCACATAATATTTGGTGCAACATCACCTTTTCATTATGAGAACATTGTTTTAATGGCTGCTTTGAAACTATTTAAAGGTGTTGTTTATACAGATGTTAGGTAGAAAACACGGCTGATATTAGAGAGAGAAACTGACCAAGTGTGACGTAACAGTGGCCGCGTGGTCGCTGGGACCGTGGGTTCGAATCCCACTCAAACCATGGATGTTTGTCTGCTTTTTTCCTGTGTTGTGCTGTCCTGTGTACGGGTAGAGGCCTTGCGACGGGCTGATCACTCGTCGAAGGAGTCCTACCAACTGTCTAATAGATCAAAGCCAACGAAAGTTGGGACCCGCAGATGCTCAAGGCACTTAAAAACACGTCGTCTAAGTATCCTAAGCAAGTAACTGACCAATCAAGTTCTGTGATGTTTCGCTTCATTAATTATGTAATCATGAGTTCGTCAGGTATTCGTACCACGCCAGATATACGTTTCCAAGAACAAAATATACAGTCGCATGTAAGGTTAGGATCATTTTGTTACCATGGTTACTCTGAACGAAGGAACGGAATCGAAATTTACGTAGTTGCAAAAACAGACTTTGAAAATACCTTGGTCTAGGTAAAATTCTTGTGTGAGAAATCATAAAACAGACGCTCAAGTCTCGAACCCAGTTCCCTTAGAAAATGAATAGGAGTGCTTAGGTTTAAGGTATTTTTCAGACGGTAATATAAATGCTACATAAAATACAGTTGACTAACAGTGAGCTTCAGGGGTGTTATCTGTTGATCTCTGGATATACAAACGGGCACTATCGTAACAAATGTCATCCGAGCCCACAGGGATATGGCATTTCACTTACCGTAAGCAAACATGCAGCACGAAGAACGACAAATCACATGGGCGCTGTGACACACTTCAAAAACACACCACCGAAACTCAACGACACTTGAAGCACGGCATACTGGATTATCACAAGACGCACTGCGCTGTGTCAGAACAAAAAACGACACACACGCGAAGCTTCCACCTTCCGCCGACGACTGCGACCTCTGGCGGTCGCGGCGGCGCCACTGACATGCGTAGTGGAAAGGGACAGAGACGGAGCGAGCCCTAGAATTTCCAGCAGCTCTGCTGGACCGACCCGTGGGATCCCGGGTCCAGGGGCACACAAAACAGTGGGACGCAAGGAAATACTTGATGCTAACTTTTACAGGGACTGCAAATGTTTTTCGGAAAACCTCAGTCCTTACAGCCAGTGGCTGGTAAAGGAGTGCTGGATATTGAAATCAGAACACAATGCAAACAAAACATATCTTACTGCAGAACGTCACACAGACAAGGAGAATCAGACGCCACTCTATAGAAAGTAGGTGGAGTACAGGTACTCAAAGAAGCAAATGACGAGAGCAAACACAAAAAGAAGCAAGAGACAGCGTAAAATAAGATAAGACAAGACAAGACGTAAAATGACAGAAGAACACGAGCTGAGATGAAGACAACCGAGTCTCGACGGGAAAGCGAAGAGGGAATATAAAACGTGACAAGACGGGAAATGAAACGAAAATAGGACGTGGCAACGGAGGAGGCGAACGGAAAACTGAAACCGGAAATAAGCAGAGAACAGAAGACGAAAAAATATCTGAAAACTGGCAGATCGCACGGAATATAACACCGTACGGGACAGACTGAAACGAGAAACACTGTTAACAGAGGAGGCTGGATAACTCGACGACAAAACAAACTGAAAATCTAAGATTATGTAAAATCAACAGATAACAAAGTTCGGAGACAGACGGAGGCTGAGAAATTACAGGATAAGACAATTCGATGCGGGGAAAAGAAATTTGAAAATCTAGGACGACGGAAAAAAAAACCCGAATAGATTAGATAAAACATAGAACGAATAGACGGTAGAACAGAACGAAATAAAGATTATAAGATACTGGTAAATTATCCTTCAGGGATGATGGAATAATCTGAAGGAGAACTTGAAAAACACGTTTTTGTTTAAAAGCATCCAATATATGGACAGTTCGTTGACTCCGTTCAGAACAACAGTAAATAGTGTTTCTGATTAAATTTTAAAATTGAAGAGTTTCAGAGTGCAAAGAATGCACGCATATGGATACTGAAAATTAAAATTACTATTTATTTCCGAACTGAAAATTAAACTAAGGTTTAAAGTAACGCAAACAGTGGTTTAAAAAATTGGTGACCAGCCAGAAGATACGTCCTTGTTGCACGAAAGGCTTAATGGAGCGACAAAATGGAGGGAGGGAGAGGCCAAACTCGAAATGACGAACGGCTTTCAAAATTCACAGAAAAGAACGAATAACGGAGGGAAAATGAGTAGAATTGTGACAGGAAACAGTTAAGTTGGCGACGTGAGACCGGAAGTGATTAATTAAATCGGTACGAAAAAAAAGAGAACACGATAATAATGCGAAATACCTGAAAAACGAGTAAAAATGACGAAAAGAACGAGACAAAGTGAAACTCAGAGGACGTAGACGACAGATAAGAAAAAGACAAAGGAATCAAGACGCAGAGCAGAGCTTGGCGCGGGGGGTCGGATAACAACAGAACTACGCAGATTATTAAAAAATATGGTGGCTAACATATAACGACTAGTAAACGCCGTCAGATCTCTGTATGCATTAAAACGCCTCTCCCATGCTTGGAAATATTCCTGGGAATCGCTTTTGGACACTCTTTGAACACTACCTCCACCCTGCTCTGAATCTCTCGTGGATATAAGTGCCTCTTCAAAGGACACTGATGTCGCGCAGGGGCTAATCAGGCTAGCACAATGGATGCTGCAAGTCTGATATTTGTTTTCAGATTGAAGACAGCCTCACCAACAGGACACTAAAGGTCCACTGTCATAATGAAACATACGAGGTGCGATCGGAAAGTTTCAAGACTGCGCGTATAAAAACCCGTACACTTATCTCAGGTACTAAATTCATCCATCACCCTCGAAGTAGTTCCCCTGGGAGTGAACACAACGATCCCAGCGCCGCTGCCAAGCCTGGAAGCATCCCTGGAAATCTTTCTTTGTCAGCCTGTCAAGCACCATCTGCGATTCTGCCTGAATCTCTTCTATCGTCTCAAATCTCCTTCCCTTTAGCTGAATTTTCATCTTTGGGAAGAGGAAGAAGTCACACAGAGCTTAGAAAGGAAGTTGGGGTCGGTTCTTGCAAGATCTTGGAGCTCCTGACAAACGAGAAGTCGATTCTGCTACTGGTCCTCAGACAGGAGCCTTGGCACAAACTTGGCTGCGATGCGTCGCATGTGGAGTTCTTCCTTTAGAATCAGCTAACAGGTCCCATAGCCTATCCCAACAATGTCGCACAAGTCGTTGATGGTACGACGTCGATCTTCGTAACAGTTTCGGGCGTTGTGCTCGAAGATGGTCGTCCAGAACGCTCGTCATCATCGACAGAGGTTCGGCCATTTTTAAAACGTGAATGCCACACAAAAGTTTGTGCACGACCCATTGCGGACTCCCCAAATGCTTGCTTGAGCATTTAATAGGTTTCCGTAGCCGTTTTGGCGAGTCTTTGGCAAAATTTGATGCACACGCCATTCCGAAATCGCAGGAGGGTCGGTAAAATGCACTACCAAAACGCCCGTAACTAAGAAACAAATGCTAATTCGATGATGCCGGCTGGCACACTGATTCACTATGAATGTAGGCCGCAACCCCTAGCGGCAGAAGCTCGTACTACATCCGGTTCGCACTCTATTGACACAGTCT